TCTGCACACGCCTGCTTCATTTTGTTTCCTTCTGATACACTGTGCATGTTGATTTTTACAACGAGGCCAAGCGTGTTCTCTGTCAGAACAGAGACTTTTGTATGCGGACCTCCCCTCTCCATGTACATGATTTTTAGAAAAAACACAATTTTATACTCGCTCTCTTACAAAATATAAAATATTTTTTAAAATATTAAATATTAAAAAATATAAAATATTTTTAATCTTTTAAAGTATAATAATTATTTTTTAAAAAAATACTTTATTGATATTGCCTTTATATTTATTATAAATTATTTAATAGAAATAAATATAAAAAGATAATGTTAGTTTAAAAGTAAATTACTACTTTATTGAGAAGTAAAATTTAATTAAAAATATTTTATATTTTTAAATAAAAGAGTATATCATATTTTACTTGAGTTTTGTTATAAATCTTTTTACTTTTTCTAATATATTTCGTATTTCTATATTTTTTTTTGTTTGCACCTTAAGTCTTTAAAACATCACTTGTAGAGGAAACTGAGGTGTAGATAGAGAAAAGTGTGTGAACATAGAACATTGAAAAAAGATATAAAAATTTATAATAAAACTTAACTAGAGTAAAAGATTTAAAATTATATTTTTTTTATTTTTAATTATTTGATTGATACTTATTCAGATATTCATCAAATATTTATTGAAAAACCATCAACAAAATCATTATATTGACATTAAGATTTAAATCAACATCCTTGTAGGATATAGATTAATTTTTTATCAATTAGTTCAACATTTGTTAGCATTTTTTATGATATCAATATCGACAGGTTATAAACTTAGAATCATTCAAAGTCAAACAAATATACGAGGTAGAAGTAGAGCTGAAGCCAGACGCCCCACGTGGGTCCGTTCTAACGTCATGCCTATTTTTTTTTAAATTTTTTCCCTTAATATTTTCATCCATGACTATATCGACCGTCCGATTCGTGACACGTGTCCACATGATCTCAACTCCACCACCATTCTTTACATATGCTTGCCGGCTGGCAATTTTGTCCTCAAACGTAGCTTCTACTGCCACGTCATCGTCTACAATTCTTCAGAATAAATTACATCTAATGACCTAATTGTTTCAAATTATTATTATAACTATTTAAAAACTAAATTATTGCTTTAGTACTGGGCATAAACCTAAAATAATGGTATTTTACTATTATTTCAATTAATTATTACTTGGTGATAACGACTAATCTGAGTTGGTATATATAAAACAATAATTCAGATTGCTCTTATGATTGGATACCATGTTTAAAATAAAGCATACCAAATGGGAGTGGTTGCTACTTATTTATTCAACTTGTTCTTTGACAATATTAACCAGTAAGTATAGATTAGTACTAATCAATATTACTTTATTATGTGTCTTCATTATATGTGAATTGGTTTGCCCCGCCGAACGAATCATAACTCGCTTGAATTTGTTTGTTGCAATTATATTCCTTATTATTTATTATGCATCACATTAAAAAAAAAACAATTAGTTTTAACTAACAAAATATATAAGCCGTTCAACCTGCACCAATAGAAATAACATTCATATTATATAACACTTGCAGGTCATGTAATTGATGGATATGTGGGATTCCTTACAAATGTTTCTGAGTTTGAATCAGATGAGAAAAAATAGCTTAAATTATTTTATTGGCGGAAGTTTCTTGTAAATAATTTTAAATTTCAGTGAAATTTCATAGCTCTTAAGAAACAAACTGATATTGTTATATATTAAGCTTCTGCGTCTGTTGTTCATTTTATTAACGTAGTTATTCATGTGTGTTAACATTGTGAATATTTATGTCAACAAACAAGAATAAAAGGTGAATAAAAATAAAATTAACCCACTTGTAATATAATTAATGTATGTTAAGTAAAATACATGCATATTTAAACACTTTATACAGCACACAGTTAAGCTACAGTAATAGACTTTAATGATATGTTGATAGAGATTTAAAATATATATTGCAATGTTCTATTTGGAATAAAATCAAATTTTGGGACAACAGATTTCACAATATCCAATACCTTTTTTGGATGAATTATATCCATGCTCCAACTACATGTCTATATCAAATATCAATATTCATTGATGTTTTCCTATATTATACCAAAATTCAATGACACTTGATGCATATAATTATAATAACTTATTTGTATCTAAGCTTATTAACACACAACTAATTTTTTTTATCCAGATATCATAATAGTGTTTGAATTCAGATTAATCATTAACATTAGATATTATTTGGTAAAAAAAAAATTGAGATTGGATATCATAAAATTGAAAAAAAAAAAACTAATAGGATGACATATAAAGCAAAACTCAAAAGGAGCAAGATATTGTTCTTAACTAGTCTTAACATGAGGATATTGCTGTTTAGGTTGTAGCATTCAAAAATTTATATTAGACTCTCAAAGCGCCATTTCATGCAAAAAAGAAAAAGTAATAACAAAATTAGTCTGGTTTTTTTTTTATTTCTAGTTATAGCAAAAACAAGTTCAAAATATCGGGTGGTTCAATAGCAAAGAATTCATTATTCAAGTCATATATACTTATTTTGGATAAAAAAAAAGTCATATCCTTCATTATATATATATATATATATATAAAGGTCCATCGCAGCAATATTGGCTTGGCATAAAGTAATTTCTAAACCTATTTGTGGTCAAAAGAAGCCTTCAGGGGAAAAAAAAAAAAAGAAAATCCATAAAATGAAAGTGCTTTTCATTTCAAGGTAAAATGCACTACAGCTCTACTCATCCACCGAACCAAAGCCACATTTCAATTCACCTATGGAACCTTCCCTCTGTGTTCTCAAATTCCACTTTTGGGGGCTTTTTCTTTTTCCTTTTTTAAACTGATCTCTCTATTTTTAATCTAAATAATATTCTTCTTTCTGATCGATTTAAATAAAAATACTCCCAGAATTGGTATTCATATCCCAAAATTTGTTTGAACCAATAAATGTCTCTTGGTGCAAATAGTTATGATCGTTTAAGTAATAGATCTCAAGTTTAAATTTATCTAAATATATAAAATAATTTTGAGAAAACTATTTTCAATTGGTTATGATAATGTTTGAGTCTAATTCAATTGAGTAACTGTATAAAAAATTTGCTTGGAGTAAGAATAATTTTGATTGGTGTAAAGGCAATGAAAATTCTAATTCTAAATTAAGGAATATTATCACATTTGAGATGTGGAAAAGAGAATTTTTATTAAAAAAATGATTATACTTTCCTTGAGAAAAAGAAATCCCCGCTGTATTCTAAATTACACTTCGATAGAGCCAAAGCGAAAGCGCGTTTAACGGTCATTGCGGAATTTAAATTGGCTCGAGGGCGATTTGGTCATTTAAATAAAAAAATAAAATAAAGGTGAGCACGATGGAGAGGAATGAGGATGCGGTGCACGTTGACGCGCATGCCGACTCGGTGCACTACAACGCTAGGGGAGAGGTGGGACCCCCACATCAGAGCCGACGATCCAGCCGGGCAAGTCGTGACGCGTGGGTCCCAATCAAAGCGCTTGGCTTCCATGTCCCTTTCCAATTTCCAAATCGCAACGGACGTGTTCGTTTATCTGATCAGACTAGCGGTGGGCCGCAGCTGACCTGGCATCATGGTGACGCGGACGCGCAGCACTGAAGCGCCTGGGGTTGGGAAATTTCGGGAATGTGATCTCAAGTTGTCGTTTCCATTTTGGTTTTGATTTAAACGACGATGAAACGAGAAAACGCACACCCCTAGTCCTTCTTTAAAGTCCCAATCCCACAAATACTACATCACAATGAAACGTTCTATAGTTAATTATCTTTTTTTTCCCGGCCTGAATAGTTAATTATCTTTATTATAATATCATTACATAATAAATAATAATAATAATTATCAGCATTTCCTTATCGGCCGTATCTGCCAGCTTCCCAATTACGTCTTGTTTGCTGGGGGAGCTGAATTACGCCTGTTTGAAACTTTTAAAAAGTAGAAATTCAAATTACGCAAAATAAGATTAATTAATTATATTTATAAATTGAAAATGAATAAACTTTCCGTGTAACTGGTTTAGCCGGTCAACTCGCCGAAATTCGGCACCATTGAGGCATGGACTTGCCCATATATTAGACAACCATGCTAACTGCTATCTTTTTTTCATTTTTTTATATAAAAAATGATGATTAATGTCAAACCAATGAGGTTGTAACAAGCTGCAAATTATCATTTAAAAATTGTAAGCCATAATTGAAACAATCCATCACTCTTATTTCATCAATAATAAAGAAATATGAGTTGAAAATTATGATGAATATTGTTTTGCGTCTAATTTATCCAAACGCGTATCACTAACCATTCAATTTAACGGGCAAATGATTGTATTAGTGTAATTAGAAATCTTAATTGCGAGGGCTTTCTCATCTTTTGTGGTTCTCCATTCTGCCCAACTGAAATAGGATTAAATGTAAACACAATGTGAGAAGTTGATTATTCAATCCAGTGCATTACATTATTTATATTCTATTTAATAAAATTATATCAATTTAATTAAATAAAATTTTATATATTATTATTTTTAATGATTTTATTTTTAGAATGGTGTGCCTTTTTAATTTTTTTTATTTTCTTTCTCTATCACAATTAATAACATAATTTATATTTATAGCTATTTCACATTGTATTTTTTGTCATACACAACATAGATGATGTGGTCTAATTTTTCTTGTGAGGTGGTTTCTTATAAAAATTTAAAATTAAAATATAAAAAATAAAAAAAAATTAAAAATTAATTACTCAAGAAATTAAAGAAGGAAAGAATAAAAGAAAAAAAAAACACACAAAAAGAAAAAATAGAAGAGAGAGAAAACTGTGGGCTTTTGTTGAGGGTTGAGCTGTGAGTTAGCTGTCGTGGGATCAATTATTTCTGGCCCACCCTCCTTCCCTTCACTCATTCATAAACTCACGCAGCTCCAAAATCCCTAGAACAAGCCCTTCTTTCTTCCTCCTTCTCAATCCCAATCTCTCTCTCCCTCCTCCATTTTCTCTCTCTTCTTCGCCTGCATTTTCCTCAGATCTCAGTTGGACGCTTCTCCAAAACCCTCTTTCAATTCTCGACTGAGAACAACAGAGATTTTGAGAGAGTGGTTAGCCAAAGAGAGCTCGATCCGTAGTGTGGCATTTGGTTTCTCATATGCCTCATGTGAGATGAAGAGGAAGGTCTATTTCCCTCTTCTCATTGCCTTCTTCTTAGGCATACTCTCTCTCGCCGTCACTGCCGATGTCCCCATTACCAGCCATGGAGCCCTCACCGACGCCGAAGCCTTGTACATCAGGCAACGTCAGCTTCTTTACTACAGAGACGAGTTCGGCGACAGAGGAGAACATGTTACCGTCGACCCTTCCCTGGTCTTCGAGAACAATCGCATTAGAAATGCTTATATAGCTTTACGAGCTTGGAAGCAAGCGATTCTTTCGGATCCGAATAATTGCACGCTCAATTGGGTTGGACCAAATGTGTGTAACTACAGTAATGTTTTCTGTGCTTCGGCACTGGATAACCCTAAGGTTCGTACTGTCGCTGGCATTGATCTCAACCACTGTGACATTGCTGGGTACTTGCCGGAAGAGCTTGGATTGCTCGCGGATCTTGCTCTCCTCCACATCAACTCCAACAGGTTTTGTGGTACTGTTCCTCACAAGTTTGATAGACTGAAACTCCTGTTTGAACTGGATCTCAGTAACAATAGGTTCGCCGGGAAGTTCCCCACGGTGGTTCTGAGGCTTCCCGCGCTCAAGTTCTTGGATCTGAGATTTAATGAATTTGAAGGGACAGTGCCTAGGGAGCTTTTTGACAAGGATCTGGATGCGATCTTTATAAACAACAATCGTTTTGTGTTCGATCTTCCGGACAATTTTGGGAACTCGCCGGTGTCGGTCATCGTCGTTGCCAACAACAAGTTCCATGGCTGTCTCCCTGCGAGCTTGGGCAACATGACGAACCTGAACGAGATCATTCTGTTGAATAATGCCCTCCGTTCATGCTTGCCTTCAGAGATTGGGTTACTGAAGAACTTGACGGTGTTCGATGTGAGCTTCAATCAGCTCTTGGGTCCCTTGCCAGACACCATTGGAGGCATGGTGAGTCTTGAGCAGTTGAATGTAGCTCACAATTTGCTTTCTGGGAAAATTCCAGGGAGCATTTGTATGCTGCCAAATCTGCAGAACTTTACATATTCATATAACTTCTTCACTGGTGAGCCACCGTCGTGCCTCAGCTTGCCGTCGTTCGATGATCGGAGAAACTGTTTGCCGGCGAGGCCATTACAGAGGTCACCCGAACAATGTAAGTCATTTTTGTCACGGCCTGTGGACTGTAACTCGTTTAAGTGTAAGCCATTTGTTCCGTCACTTCCTCCACCCCCAAACCCTTCTCCTCCTATTCCTGTACCTTCCCCACCACCTGTTGTCGTGCCTTCACCGCCTCCGTCACCGGTTTACGTTCCACACTCTCCGCCTCCACCTTCACCGCCACCTCCTGTGTATTCACCCCCACCTCCGCCACCTCCTCCGCCGGTTTATTCCCCACCTCCTCCACCACCAGTCTACTCTCCACCTCCTCCTCCACCTTCGCCACCCCCACCGCCACCTCCTCCACCTTCACCTCCCCCGCCGGTCTATTCTCCGCCTCCACCCCCATCTTCACCACCCCCTCCTTCACCACCTCCGCCAGTCTATTATCCACCCCCACCGTCTCCGCCGCCACCTTCTCCTCCACCACCTACTCCATCGCCGCCGCCACCATCACCTCCCCCTCCATCTCCTCCACCACCTTCACCCACTCCAACTCCACCGTATTGCGTCCGTTCTCCTCCCCCACCGCCACCAAATTCACCGCCGCCACCTACTCCAGTATTTTACCCACCTCCACCGACATACACCTCGCCTCCGCCGCCTCATCACTTGCCTCCACCACCACCTCACTATCCCCCGCCTCCTCCACACTCACCTCCACCGCCTGTTTATCCCTATTTATCACCGCCGCCGCCGCCTCCGGTACATTCTCCTCCTCCCCCTGTCCATTCACCTCCCCCACCATCACCCCCGCCTTGTATAGAGCCACCTCCACCTCCTCCACCACCTTGTGAAGAGCATCCACCACCGCCACCATCTCCCACACCTTATTTGCCACCTCCATCCCCCTCTCCCCCTCCACCACCAGCTCCGGTTCACTATAGTTCCCCGCCGCCGCCGCCAGTTCAATACAGTTCACCGCCGCCTCCTCCACCAGCAGTTCATTACAGTTCTCCCCCACCGCCAGTATACCATTCTCCCCCGCTACCATCACCACCTCCCTGTGAAACCCCACCTTCTCCGTCCCCACCTCCGCCAGTCACATACGAAAACCCTCCACCTGCTCCTGTATATGAAGGGCCTTTGCCACCTGTCTTCGGAGTCTCTTACGCATCTCCGCCTCCACCACCCTTCTATTGATTCTTTTGAGAGATTTTCTCCTCTATCCTTCCGTCCATCAACAGCAAAATTCATACATTGTCGGCCAAATCTTTTATACCCTCTTCCTGTACTTCATCGACTTTGCTCTCTTTTACAAAGCGACCCTCGTCGCTGATGGAGGAAAAATAAACAAAGTGAGAATGGTCTGTACACCGGTGAGTTAGTCATAGTCATCAGCATTGTTCGTATTTGGACAATAGTCTGTCATAAAAGGATATACACAGAGAAGAGGTCAGAGTAGCTAAGGACTGAGGTATGAGGAGAAAGGCTCTCTATATTGATTTGAATTGTTATGAGCGAGTTGTGAAATAAAAAAAAAATTGCAGAGAAAAAGAGTAGGTTGCATAGGGATGAAACGGAGACCATAATTTCAGGGCTGCAAAGACGGTAGCACTTTCTGCTGCTGCATCTTGTTTGTGGGTTTATTGTTAATGTCTCTTATAATTATACTTTTACTTTTGTTTCTTTTATTTTTTTCGAAATTATAGTATAATTATGAACATTTTACTTGTATTTGATTCTCCGAATTCATATCATTCTCTTTTCTGATCGATCTCAGTCTGTTTCTGCTAATCGAGTGCTGTAGTTGTGAGTCCATCATTCCTTTTCTGTGAGGAATTGAACATTCTTTGCTTGGCCTTGTAATTTTCAGTCTGATAAGATACAGGCAAAAGAGAAGGACTTGTTCAATTGTTCATCCATACTTTCTGCAAAGATCTGTTTTTCTGAATTCTCTATTCCTTTGCTTGCAAATGAAACTTAAAACTGGAAAAGGTATCTATGATTATCATGAGATGTCTTTATCATGTTCTACATAATTAACTTTCGCCTGCAATTATGGTTGAGGTCTGAAAACGGTGCCTCTCATTCTTGAAACAAGATGGGAGAGGCAACTACCAGAGATTTCATTTCAGCCTTCCCTAATCCGGTTGGTTCAGGGTGGGACCTGAAAGGCCGTCCCAAGAATCATTAAGGAGGGGCCTGCAAGATTAAATATTCCTAATGAAGTTTCTTTCATTTGATTTTAATATTGTTTTGAGATCTCCTCTTCCCCCATGTGCAAGCTTATCTTTTGAGATTTGAATTCAAATCTGTTTGTTTGTCTGGCGTTATGTGTAATCTATACCCCCTTTTCCTCATTGGGATTATGAACATTTCATACTGTTATGCTTGTGAGACGAAGCTTAAAGCTCAGTCCAGCACAGACTTTCTTCGCATAATGTGCTCTTTTCTTTCTTCTTTTTTTCTCCTTCGTTAAGTAACTTTCATCACAATTTCTCTGCCATTTTTTCTCCTTCGTTAAGTAACTTTCCTTCCTCTTTCGAGTTTTGGTCACAGACTAATCTCAATGTACCATTCACATTCTTCTTGTTCTCCATAGTCAACGAAACTCTAATAGCTTGTAAGAATTTTTATTTTTTGTCTAAAGTGCTCTCCAGTTTCATGAAGCTTCTGGTTCCAAGTCAGAGAGGGTAACGTGGGTTGCAATAATGATTTTTTTTTAAATCTTTATTGCGATGTCTACATAAAAAATAGATCGTGGGTTCATGTAAGGCGAGTGCGATTTTATTATACATATACATTCATGTAAGGTGAATCAATGAATGACAATGAATGTCTAAAATTTATATTTGTAACCTTGATATAATAAATTGGTTTAAATGAGTTTGGAGATATTTATGAATTTGGAGCGAGGTCATGTGGAATCAAATGAATTCCACCCACCCATTATGTGAAAAAGTAAAAGAGAGAGAGAAGGAGAGGACCAGGATGGAGGTCCACTTTTGGTTTTGTAGCCCTCTCATGATGGGAGATGGGAAAAGATGCCGAGAAAGGCAAACCACCGCGAAAAAGGGGCAGTGACCTTGATGAAATGGGCCCTCCCTGAATATAATATTCACGTGGCAAGTAATGGAAAAGCCTTTATCTCTCTCTCCCTCCCTCCCCTCTGTGTACATATGTATATATATACACACACTCAATTTATTAAAAAATATAAAATATTTATTTTAATAAAATAATTATTTATTTTTAAATTAACTTTATATTTCTATGTTTATTCATATTAAATAAGATATTTTATTTTAAAATAAATATAAAATAATTTATTTAAAAAAATTTTAAAAATAATAAGTACTTAAAAAAAAAATATACTTTATCAATAAGAGGAAAAAAAATGTCTTTAATGAAATAATGAAAGATAATATTAAAATAATTATTAAAATTTTATTCATGTCCATATATCCTATATTTTAAAACACTAAATTATTTTAAAAAAATAGTTTATAAATTAGATGAGGGATTATATAGAAATATATATATATAGAGAGAGAGAGGGGGGGGGAGAGAGAGAGAATGTGTGAGATCAATAAGTTGGTTGACTTGCTGTATTGCATCAACAAGGACACAAGTATCATTTAATTAGGGTCTCGAGGGACAGCCTGTGATTAGGTCAAGCAAATTAATGGCATTTCATAAAGTGATGTTTGTGATATTGACCTTTTACCCCACATATTAAAAAGAATGACAAGTCTCTGTTTCAAGATAGATAAGATAACACTATGCCCATTTTAATTCAAATTATCTCCCAAAAGTAATAATAATAATAATAATAAGTCACATTTTCCTCCTCACCGTTAAAAGATTCCCTCCCATCACTTAAATTCCCTTCTCATTGCAATTTCATTACTACTTTAATTAAATATTATTCCACATATGACATGTGCCAACAAGTTTGGGTTGCAATATGACCTTAGCCTTCAAAAAAGGGAAACCCACATACATATTCCATACCGAAAATTATTGATCATGGGCATTTGTTAGAAAAGCGTTAGTTTAATTTTCCTTGATAAAAATAATTAATTTGATTTTTTCAATGGGGAAAGCCAACATCTATATATTCCAATATGAAATGTAACAACTTTAAAATAAGTGATGAATAGGGTAGCTTTCGGCTATTTAAAAAAAAAAATTATACACCCTCGGTCATCATTATAGGGTCAAGTTAACTAATTTCATTAGTCATTTTCTTTTAAGTAATAGTAGTTCTCTCTAATCCTATTTATAAATTATTTTAGCATGTTTTATTGAGATAAAAAAAATTTAAATCTTATTAACTATACTTAAAAATTTAATCTTTACTCCTATTAAAATATACATAATTTAAAAATAAAATATTCTAACATTAATAAATTTTTCAACATTTAATATGGACAAAAGAGTAAGGATGAACACAATCAGTGGTAGAGTCAAGACCTTAGTCTGGGGGTGAGGTGTATTTTTTAAATTTAAAACTCAAAAATAATAATTTTCAATTAAAATTACATATTTTGTATTTATTCTGTAGTTAGTTTTTTTTCTTTTAATAAGTACTCCCTTTATTAAAAATTATAAGGCATTTCTTTAAGAGTTGGATGTTAAAAAATATAAAGTATTTTTAATCTTTTGATGTGTAATCATTGCCTTTTTTTAAAAAGTGCCTCTATTGATAATGACTTTATATTTATTGTAGAATATTTAATAGGGGTACATATCAAAAGATAGGATTAGTTAAAAAGTAAATAGCTACTTTATTGAAAGGGTGAGATTCAATTAAAACTTGGAAGTATATAACAATTTTATTGTGGAAGTTATTAAAAGTATTTCTTTAAATATAATTGCACTAAACTATTGTTTTAACAGTGACACCCATTTTTCATGATCTTTGGGGCAAAAAGTAAAGGATTTTTTTAACCATGGCAATGATACTATGTAAAATCATTGTTAGCTTCAGGAAAAAAAGCTAGAAGATAAATCAATAAAACTCAAAAATTTATTATCAAGTATTACTGAATTAGTTAAAATGTACATTAAAAATGATTTACATTTATTGCAAAACCTTTTAACTAGAAGGGATAAAATATCAAAATTATACTACTTTGATGTAATTTCTCCCATAATGAGAGGTGCATGAGCATCCCTTCAAATATATGGGGCTCTGCTAGTAAATATGATAATTATTGAAGTATTTTATAAATATGATTAAAATAAACGATCTCTCTACAAATAGGATAAAGGGAGTAGTTAATATCTTTTTTCTTGTGAAAAATGTTTGATTTTCTAATTTTATTTTTACTTAAATTAATGACCACAATAAAATGTGTCTAGGAATTAAAATTTTGTCTTGGTGTAAATAAAGAGGGAAACTATTGAGCGTAAAAAAAAAAACAATTACTACACATTTGTCTATATTTAATATTAAACATGATTTTTAAACTTTGCCTATAATTAAACCTTAAGGAAGTAAATAATATATTCACTCTGTCCTAATTTATATGACATTTTCCAAGTGATTTGTGTCCTAGAATAGGATATATTTTGAAACAAAAAAGGGCTTTTTAATTATGATTATTTCGATATTACTGCTCATTATTTCACTTTTTAAATATATTTTCCCTTCCTCTCTTAAAAAATATTTTAAAAGCTTATAGAAAACTTAAGATTATAAACTATATTTAATAAATTAATTGTATTAATTCTATTAAAAATATCCTATAAAATGAAACAGATGGATTATTTCATTTCTCAAATTCTATGTAAACCTAGATTAGTTAGAATTAAACCAATGAACCAAGTTGTTAATAATCTTGTTTAGAGATCTATCATATCTTCATTGAACTATAAACAAGCTGCCGAATAGAGAAGCTAATTGAAAAAAATAATTATTTTTAAAGATGTAGGTGATCCAATTAATGGTTAGGAATACTGTTATTAAACTCACGACTCAACTCGCTTCGCTCGTCGACTTTACGATTTTGCAACCAATTTTTGCGTCAAATCGCTACTAAAATCGCTGATGTTGCTGACTTGACCAAACTCGTGAGAGAGTCCAATAAACTCGTCTGAATCGTGCTTTCTCACTGCTTGAGGACGAGTTTAAATTGGTTGCAACATTCACAATAATTATTAACCAACTGACCTGTTAAGCATCTTCAACAGTTTTCACTGTCTTTTTATATATGATAACAACGGATGTAATGACCATAAATAAACAGGAGGAAAAAGCGAAATCCCAAAAAGATATGAGCAAGTGTCTTATAAAAAAATATAGTAAATGAATTTAAAGTTCAAGCATAGTATACTAAAATTAATTATAAGTGATCATAAAAGATCAATAATCTTAAAATTAATATGATTTGAATATTAAATAAAAATTAAATCACCTAAGGTTAGAACAGGTGAAAAAATGGGAAAGGATATGATTGGATTAGAGTTCAAATTTTCTTCATATAATAAAAAATATTTTATATATTGATAAAATAAATATATTTTCTATTCCAATTTTTATCATTTGGCCTATCTTAAAATAATTTTTTATGACATTTATTGATAATAATAAATCCTTATGAATTTACATTTTTTAATTGACGATAAGAGTTCATATTATAATTATGAATTTATTTAAAATTATGAGTTTGACAACTTTAATTAGGAAGGTGAAAAAGGATCTCCACCACATGCTATAGAGTCTTTAGAGCCAACCAATTGCATACACCGTCTCTTTAAAATATTA